GGAAGATAAAACCAAGGAGACCAAAGTTCACACATACTTTCCCTATCAGCAATCCTGAGTTAGTGATAAATGGCTTTAAGAAAAAAATCCTTCAAGGCATTTACCTTCCTCTAACCAGATGACGGCTTCATTATTATTGGTCAGTGATATAAAATGATAACTTGATTATTATTTATTTCCTTTAAAACTTAGGTGAAGCTGTAAAAATAAAAAGATGGATTTTTATAATATATAAAATAATTTCAAAACCTTTTGGAGCCTCACTGGCCATTTGGTTTTGTTCATAGGATCACAATATCAATTGGATAATTGAATGCATAGTGTCATATCTAGAATAGAGGAAGTGCCCAATGCTTGATTGAATAGATGAATAATGAATTAATTAATGACCAGAAAATTATTCCCTCTACCATAATGATTTTTAAAAGGCACAACATTTTTAAGTATCTCTGTTAAAGTTTGTAATCGTATATAGCATTGTATTTTTCAAAATAAGTTCATGCATATAACTATGCTTAAATTGTTGCAATTAAACCAAGATGTCAAAAGGTCTAATTATTATTTTTTTTTGCTAATGAGAATACTGAAGTAATGAGAGGCAAAGTAACTTGTTGACGATAACAAACTAATTATGACACAACTAGAATCCAAGTCTTTTGCTTATTTCTTCATGACATTTTTTTTCTATTCATAATCACTTTAGTAACCGGATTTAAATCTATCATATGACTCTCTTGCTTTGTTTTGGTTCTACTGTCCATTCCTTTTATATAATCTTTTCTCTGCCATCTTGAGTTTTACTTTCTATTCTAAATTCCTGTATGCACTTCTAAATTCCTTTATACACTTCTATATATTAAGTAGAAATTAGAATGCAATTTTTTTTTTGTATTTCCTCTGCTACAACATCATGGAAGTATACTACTAAGTTGAATTCAAGAATATGGAAGTTTCAGGAAACAAAAAATATGAAGGTTTCCACTTCAGGACAGATGGTGGACTAGATGTTCTAGTACAATAGTACAAAGTGGATGAAATATGCTTTGAGGCAGGTAGGAGATAAAGTCCAGGGCTGGAGCTGGGCTCAAGTGTGTGTGTGTGTGTGTGTGTGTGTGTGTGTGTGTGTAATTCAAGACTCTGCAGAGCCAACACACTTAGTAGGTGAACAGAAAAATACTTTTCAGAGCAAGACTGTGGATATATTTGCCTGTCTCAGCCTTGTGTCTGGGTGAAACGAACAAGCAAATGTCTCTTCTGTCTATTCCTAATCATGGGGTTACATTCTACCTGACTTAGGGCTAGAATTCACAACACCTGTGTCATGCCTCGCCTCCTCCCAAATTCTCAAGCTGAAAATTTCAATCGATCTGAGTTTGATGGTAACATCAGCATTGGGACAAAAGCAATAACACATTTTCTCTGGAGGAATAAACTTTAAAAACTTGGGTCTTAAAATAAACATTTCCAGAGATAAAATTCCAAGGAACATGAGCTTGGTATTTAAGCTATCCCAAGTAAGTTAAAGAAAAATAAACTAGAGAATCAAACACACAAAACACCAATGAATTGGCAATATTAGATACAGAATACAAAGTATGTTTTCTTAATATAGTTAAAAGAAATGAAAGAGCATTGAGTATATGATGAAAGAACAAGGTATTATGAAATAAAGAACAAAAGAGAATTATCAGACTGGAAAAATGTAACTATTAAACTTAGTAAAGGCAATGGAATGGAGAACTTAAAGGTTTACAACTGGACTCAAAATCAACCGTGGAGACCCCACAGATGGGGAAGGGACAGATGGATCTAAGGATAGAGCAAACAAATTTGGAATGTCTTGGGGAGAGTGCAGACTGTCACAGACTAAATGTGTGTGTGAGGTGGGCCAGTTGGAGAAGAGTTTGTAGAAGCCCAGAGCTGAAGGTTGCTGGGCATAGTAGGAGGACGGGGCGAGAGAGTTTTGAAGTTCTGCTTTGGCATCTCTCCCACATTAATTGTCTCACTGAACACAGGATCAATCACTGAGTGAACACATCATTAAAATATAGTGAGTGCAATCGGGGGAGGAGGCTGCAGCAGAAAGATTTTGAGTTCATGATCAGCCTCAGCAACTTAGTGAGACCCTGTCTCAAAAAATAAAAAGGGCTGGGGATGTGGCTTAGTGGCAAGACTTGGGTTCAATCCCCAGTATCAAAATGAAACAAAGCGAAACACAATGAGTGTACTTTATGGAATGCTATGGTGCACTTAACTGCAATAGAGTAAATGTGAAAATATTTTTGAAAACACAAGCCTTTATACAAAAGTTGAGAAGGATATGATTTATAGAGAATATATTTATGTAAGTTAAAAATATGCCCAAGATATTTACAAATATAAAAGTATACACATCAAAAGGTACACACTAAACACTTTAGAATGCTTGTCTGAGATGAGGGAGGTATGATAAAATGGAATAAATAAAGCCAGAAGGGTGTTGCTTAGACCGACTATAATTGTATACCATGAACTAAAGAGTGTAAGAAGTATGATTACCCAAACTTGTAAACCTGAGGTTTAATATATAAAAGAAGAAACAAACTCAATATATGGGTTAACGAGCAGATTAGATATACTATATGGAAAAGAAACTAGAAATATAAAGAAATTATCTCAAATGTGAGAGACGAAAAATGTGGGGAGAAAAGGCTACACAACCTAGAAGATACAGTGAGAAGATGTAGTATAGCATCTGAGAGGGGTGATCAAGAGAGGATGGCCGAGTAATCCTTCCTACATGAAATACCTCCTTCTCATATTCAAGAAGCAGCATGAGACATGAAAGAGGCTAAGAACATCAAAAGCAAACAGAAGAAGTCCAAGTGGTCATAGTTAAGCAGTGAGCCATTGAGTAACCGTTAACCCCTCAAAAACAAGAACAGAAGCCGCAGGAACATGCGACATCTTCAAAGTTCTATGAGGAAATTACTATCAGTTTATGTTTGTGCATCCAGCAACACCAACAACTTTTCAAGAATGAGGACATTTAGCAATCCCACTTCTGGCTGTTTACTCTGCAGATCTGAAATCAGTTTGTTGAAGAGAGATCTGTACTCCTATATTCACTGCAGCACTACTGACAATAGCCAAGACAGGGAATCACCCTATGGATACATCAAAAGACAAACAGATAAAGAGCATATATAGTATTTTATCATGTACAATGAGGTATATGCACATGCTAAAATACTATTCAGCCTTAAAAAAGAAGGAAATCCTGGCATTTGTGAGAACATGGATGAAAGTGAAGAACCTTATGCTAAGTGAAATAAAGCCAGGCATAGAAAGACAAATACCACATGTTCTCACTTATATAGAGAATCTAAAATAATCAAACTCACAGAAGCAGAGAATAGAATTGTAGCTACAGAGGCTGAGGGTGGGGAGAATGGGGAGACAATGGTCAAAGGCTGCAAAATCTCAGCTAGTGGGAATACTTTTTCTTTTTGAAATCTATTGCACAGTGTGATAAATATAGTTAATAAAAGAGTATCTCATATGTTTCAAAATTGCTAAGAGAATACAATACAAATATTCTTAGTACAAAAAATTGTTGAGTATCTGAGGTAATGGATATGTTATCTGTCTTGATTTAATTATCCTATGTTGTATTCAAAGTCGTAACATCATTTTGTATCCCATAAACTTACACAGTTACAAATGGTCATTTTCAAGAAAATAAGAAAAAAAGAATAAGGGTGAAAATAAACACATCCTCATCCAAGCAAAACCAAACTTCATGGCATTAGATTTTCAATAAAGAAACATTCAGAGCATGTAATTATAAAAGGAGAAAATGTTAGATAATCATGTTTGTTTATTAAGTATAACAAGCATTTTATTTTATTTAAAAATAAATTTCTTATTTAAAAATAGAAAATTTATGAACTAGTGGATTTTATAATTAATGCAGCATGAATTAACTGAGCTTAATTACCTGTATTGACTGTTTATACATTGGTTCATTCTTTAGGTCAAATGTCAACTACTTGGTAATCTGATATTAGAAATCTTTGAATTGATGAGATGATGTTGCATTGTGCCATGAAATTATACTGCATTATATAATGTTATAATTTAAAAGATTACAAGTAAAAAAAGTGAGATGTCAAGAACAAATACTAGTATTTAGTTTCTCTGTTTCTGTAATTAAGAAAAGTTCATTGCAATGTTGGCATAGCCCCTGGAGTTTATACAAAGGCCAAATGCTGCAATAATGCTGTAATGATTTCAACATTTGTGCCTATAAAAAACCTAATACTAATGTCTAGGGCAATTTCTGAATATAAAATAGGTTTTGTGTTTTCTTATACATTTAATCTTATCAGTATCTAACTTGAACATGAGAGATCTTACATAACAGGGAATTTTGTTCTATTGAGACATAGTATACAAAGTAATAAAAGAGCATTTATGGATGATTAAATATTGAAGTGAAGTTGAAGCATTTAATCTACTGCAAAACTCATTTAATGCAAACGTACCCTGGCAATATAGATATTATTGATATTACACTTGAAGGGAACATTTTCATCCAGTGTAGCTCATGGAAATTTAATTTCCTTGTTCTCTGAGAATTTGGAATTTGTTAGACTGTGTCCATTTCCAGTACAATTTTTCAGTGGAACATAAAATGTACTCTTACATATTAGCAAATAAGTTAAGTGATTAAAAAAAAAAAAACCCACACTGCCAAACTAGGTGCTGTGAAGGTAAACTCACTATAACAGGTGAAAATCACAATAAGTAAAAAGTAAAAACAAGCTATTTTGAACTTATCACGAAGTTGATTTTGATGTCCATTTTATGATATCATTCTGTTTTATTTTTTGATAGACTTTGCAATCAAACACAAACTGGACCAATCTCAGATCAAATATAAATTGGTACTTCTTAAATAAACATAGCAATTACATTTGCAGAAATTAAACAAACAGATAAGCTTAGGATGTTTAGGTTCATTTAGATAGATTTCTTTTTTTTTTTTGGTTTCTCTAAGATTTTGTCCTGTACCTAAATAAAACATCAGATTCTGGATGCTGAACACCAATCATTAAGCGGCTGTGGTCTAGTCCGATAGGCTTTTTGTCAATTATCTCTAAATCAAAATAAGTTACAAATACAATCAACAATAGTTTTATTTCAATAACTGCCAAATATCGACCTGGACATTTGCTGGTACCAAATCCAAACGGCATTATGAAAAACTTCAGTTTTTTGCCTCCTTTGAAAAAGGTGGTTTTCTTCTTACCATCTTCAATAAAACGATCAAATCTAAACTCCTATAAAGAACAAAACACAATGTCAAAATTAAAATTTTACATGAAATAGTTTGATTTCAGGTCCACAAAATTACTAGCTTTTCCTGCCTCTTTTAAAAGATTCTTTCAATCAGCAACACCAGAAAGTAAAACTTGATTATGTACAAATCATTCATGAATTTCAAAAACAAAACAAAGCCCAAAACTCATATGCTCCTAGGAAATTACTTCCCCATAGTCAAGTGAAGTCCAAACACCATATGATTTCTCTTCCCTATTCACATTTTCTCCTAATGTCTTAGTCAGTCTTCTGTTGCAATTGCAGAATATCTGAGAATAAATAATTTATAAAGAAAAGAGGTTTATTTTGTTTCATGATTCTGGAGACTGAGAAGTTCAAGAGCATGGTGCTGATAAAGGTCTTGTGCTGCTTCATTTGATGGTGGAAAGCAGAAGGGCAACTGGGCAAATTTGGAAGAGGTAGGCTCACTTTATAATAACCCACTGTTTTAAAAAAATATTTTGTAGTTATAGATGGACAGAATGCTTTTATTTTATTTGTTTATTTTTATGTGGTGCTAAGGATTGAACCCATGCTCACACATGCTAGGCAAGCACTCTGCCACTGAGCTACAGCCCCAGCCCTAATAACCCAATTTTGAGGTAGCCAGTCCAGTCAGTTCCAAGAAAGGCCTTAATCCCTCTTAAGGATACCTCTTATGATCCCCACTGCCAAGATGGCAGACTTCAACATGACGTTTGGAGGCGGACAAACCATATTCAAGCCATAGCACCTAAACTGAGCTTTGTAAGTGTAGAAGCTATATCTCTATTTTTTTCTCTAAGGTGGGTATTGACATATTGGGTCTTGACATATTGGCCCTTGATATACCAATTTTGGGTAGGAGACAGCTGTAGCACTGTCATTGTTACCAAGGAATAAGGAATCCTAGTAGTCACAGAAGCAACGTAACTGTGGATCCCTAATTTTCTTTTTCCTTATCCCTTCCCAATCAGCTACTGATGAATGAGAACTATGAGTTTTGGATCCAGTGTTTATGTTTCAATTAAATAAATTTAAAATAATAAGATTCAGATAAAGGCTAGAAAGAACCTAAGCCACAAAAATCAATTTTGCTTGTTTTTTGATGTTTAAGGAAATTTGTCCTGTGAAATTTCTACTTCAGTGAAATCTCTTTGGATTAACTCTAGGGTGGCAGACAGTTCTGGTATATTTAATAAATATATTATTTGCTACAGAAAATTATGAGACTGTTTAATCTAGAGTGTTTGGGCTCACCATCTTAATTTTTCCATGCTACCAAAGGGGTATGGTTCAATCCTCACTTGAGTTTTTTTAGAGAGGACTGAATGACCTTATTTCAGCCCATGGTGAATTAAACCATTGATTAAATTAAGTCTTGTGACCTGCATGAAAATGACCATGTAGTTCCTGTAGTTGGTGCTCATTAATATTCGACCTGTTTTGGCACACAAGTTTGATATAAACTACATGACAGCAAATGCAAAGAAGTAGGTCAAATAAAAGGCATTTTAGATTCTGGTGAAAACTCTATAACACATGGATGGATTCTGAGTCCATCACAGATGATCTTATTTTTCTCACTCAATGGTAGTGTGGTTAACATCAATGAATCATTTCCTTTCATGGCATTGAGTTTACCCTCATCTACCTAGAACACTTATTTGAGCTAGAAAAATTGGGGGTAGTTTCTAGTCTCCTTCAATTTGCATATGCAGTAATAATGACAAAATCCATCAGAATTTTAATAATTGTTTTATTTCCTGACATGCCAATTCTGGGATGTATCCAAGTAGGATCTAAACCAAAATATCTGTTCATTCCTGAAGGAAGAACAGTCTGTGTTGACATACACTGTTACTGGAGACACTACTTATGGAATAAACTCTGCTGGTGAACTTCTAGGGACCAGGCATGCTTGCCTGGACTTAGTCCTGGTGCCTCCTGCTGACCAGTTTGAGAAGACTAGCACTCTTCCCCAGAGCTCCCCAGGGAAGTGAACTTTGCTATGAAATGATCCGTTCAAAACTAAACATAATATGTGTTAATGCAAAAGGAAACCTTAGCATAGGTTATCACTACAGTGTCCTGATATCACAAATAAACCAGAAACCATCATGGTTTTTCAGGTTCTTTGTGAAAATCATCGTGCTGCCCTCTGAGAGGCCACAGTGCCCATGACTTTCAGTGAGTATTCATAATCAATTTCCTCTAGCCTCTAGTCAATCATTAATGCCACTCCTCTAGTTTTCTGTTCCCTTCTATTTCATTTCCTCATAATAAACATCTTGGAAATTTCTATTTTGTTGTTTATTCTGTAAAACTAAAATATAAATGACCAAGGTCTTTTACTCGGTGATTATCATCACATGGATATAGATATGTTTCTGAGTTAAAATTTATTTTCAGTTTGTTCCACTACTTACACATGGAGAACCTAACAGAAACTAATTTTAGAAAGGACTTTGCTAGGGATACAGTTTGGTTTTTAGCCAAAAGGAGAAAGGATATTATAATCGCACTCCTGAGATTTTGGGGTCATAGTGACAGAAACATCGGGTTAAGAAGCATAAGATGGATCCATACATTTGGGTCCACTTAAACTTAGGATTCATCATGCTGACTTAAATCCTATGCACTGATCATACAAAGCTCAATACTTCATAATTAAAGAGGGTCAGTTAAAAGATGAGAATAGGGAAATAATTAGAAAAGGTGTAAGACACTGAAATTCCCCATTGCCCCTTTAACAGAGTCCCCAGTATCACTCATACAGAAGTATGAGGTTTATCTAGGCATCAATCTTGGTAATCACAATTCTCTGGCCTCTGTCTGGTTTGGGACAGGACGTGTGAACCAATCTGATCAGTGCTATGAGGGAAAAATCTGTAGGGACATCTAGGAGCATTCTTCTCTTGTAAAAAAAGAAAACCAGAAAAGAAATGGTTCATTATCCTTCTTTCTCAGGGCCTGGTGATTTGTGAACATGGTGTCTGGAACTGCCATAGCCATCCTGCCACTAGGCAAGGTGAAGCTAACTCGCAGAAGATGGCAGGGTCAAGAAACCCCAGGGCGGCGGAGCTGGGACACTGTCTTATTTATCTCTGTATTTTCAAAGTCTCTAACATCATGTTATTTTACACAGTCGAGGTTCCACATTTGTTTGTTAAATTAATGAACAAACACAGGAGAGTAAAGTTATATTTTAAAACCATATTGGAAAAACATGGACATTGAATAAGAAAAATCATCATATAGACAATGAGAAACAGGTAAATATTCAGTATTTCTAAGTAGTAGAAATGGTATACTATTGAAACACATGAAATCAAGATTGAATAGAAGATCCTATATTCTGAATAGAGGAGAATTGGTATACTCATGACAGTGGAAGATTGCATAACATCCTAATTTGTGTTTTCCAAATACTGTGTTTAGTTCAGTTCAACAGATTTTTCCTCCCTCCCTCCCTCCCTTCCTCTCTCTCTCTCTCTCTTTGTTTTTAGCATTTCCTGTATAAGAAGCATTGAAGCTACAAAGATTTAAAACATGGTCCTGCTGAGGTAGGTAACCCATGATAGGCTCATGTCTTATATCCAATTTATAAGTTGGGTATAGCAATTGAAATTAGACAAAATAAATGACTTCATAGTAATAAACACAACCTGTCAGTGTTTTGAATGGATGACTAAGGGGCCACTGCTTTGCTGCCTTTAGTTATAGCCCTCATGAGGGGAAAGATGACAAAGTATGGAAGTTCCTTTTTATTTCCATGACTTGGGTTCAAGTCAGCTGTGAGATGCAGTCAGCTGCTGCCAACTTGTGATAGGTTGGTACACCTTTCCCAAACCCGTGTTTTGGGGTCTTCAAGTTGGTAACATGCAATCTACCATGGATGGTATTATTTACACCATGAAAATGGACAAACATTACAAATCAGAGCCTTTTAACACTTTGATATATAAGGACACAACTGGTTTCAATACTGTAGGTATGAAGTGCCAGTTTACTGGTAATGGAAGAAGCGTTGTCCACACAGAGGATCTGGCTGTGAGAACATGGTTGCATAATAAGGCTCGGCTCCTATACTGTGGACTCTTAGGCAAGGGCCAGGAGTGTTACCCTTTATGCCTATCACAATGCTTTTGAGTAGATGCTCAGTAGGTTTGCTTCCTTGAAGTTTATTGATGACACAATCTTTATTCCTTGTTGAAATACAGACAAACTTTATTAGGATTATTTCCTCATTTGTCATAACTGGTTTATTTTAAGAACATTAATAATAATAAAAATAAAATGGATACCACAATTCCTGTAGTGATTTTGAATTTTCTCAAGGGCTTTCAAATTCATTCATCATTTTCTTATGCCTACAACTCTGAGGAGTACATAGAGTAGAACTACACTAAGATAAACATGACCTTTCAACTTCAGAGCCTTTTGGGGGCATATTCCAAAGTATTTGGAATTCCACTGTCATTTTACCATGTTTCTTTACCTTTGGAGGCAGTGTGCTGATAATAAAGTACTCTTGTCTTAAATACTTGCTGCGTCTCTCTTATAGCCTAATAGTGTCATCGAGCCTTTATCCTTTAGCATTTCTAGGCCTGGAAATATGAATCAACAGATTTGGTCTTTTCCATAGCTCCAGTTCTGGATATCACTGCATTCTGACAGAAAAGAAATCATCACCATTTCTTTCTGATTATTTGATAAACAGTTACATGAGTTCTGGCTAGTAATAGATGTACATTTAGAGTAGCCCTCAGAAAAACTTAAAAAGCTATTCACTCCTAGCTAACTAATGGAGTATCTAGACTTTGTTGGATAGCATGTCCTCTAGAGAGAGAGAGAGAGACAGAGAGGAAGAGTCAAAGGGGTGTTATTTTGCTCTCACTCTCATTGTAAATTTCACTTGCCAATTTATTTTCCCGCACAGGCAAGATTCACTTGAATGCTCAACATAACAGTAAGCTAAGCAACCAATATTCAGGAAAAGAAAAATTCTTAACACAAAAGTTACATGCTGGCAGCTTATAGGCCAAATTAGGTCTTGAAATATCTTTTTCTTATCCCATATTATTTTAGACTTCAATTTTCCAAAGTCATTTTCTTTAAAAGAAAAAAAAAAAAAGAAGGATCAATATGATGTGCCCAAACTAGATCTAAAGGCTTGCAAGAATTGAGGGCTCATTCAGAAGTATCCACTGTTCCCACTGACATGCTTTACAGGGTCTCCTCTCACCATAGTTCTTACCACTCTCCAATTGTATTACTATGCTTATGAACAAGTCACTTCCCCCTCCCGCTGTCCTCAATTTTGGTACTGAGGATTTAACCCAGGGGCATTCTACCATTGAGCTACATCCCCACACCTTTTGTTTTTTATTTCAAGACAGGTTCTCACTAAGTTGTGTAGGGCCTCACTAAGTTGCTGAGGCTGGCCTTGAACTTGCAATCCTTGTGCCTCCTGAGTCGCTGGGGTTACAGGTGTACATCACTGTGTCCAGCACAAGTCAGTTCTTCATTTGATCTGTGCTTACTCCCAGTGTATATGTAAATGTGTGCTATCCTGATTTAAAGTTTTAACTGAAGTATACCTTCAGTGCATTTATGTATCCCATCATCCCCTTCATTATTTAGCTGACCATGGATGATGTCCTATGTTGGGGGGGACTGAAAGAAGTAACTGCCAAAATACTGCAGTATGCACCATAACAAAGCGGGCACATGCCACAGAGTGGGCAATGGCAAATTCTCTGGAATAATGTGGAAATCAGAAACATCATCAAAGAAGATGTGATTAAGGTTATTCTTGTGGAGTAACCTAAAGCTTGCTGGCGGACAGGGAGGGAGGGACACTTCATGAATACAGAAATGTGGGAATAAAAGCTCTAAAATGGTAAGGAAGACCTTGGCCTGTTTTGGAAAGCAACATTTTAGAGCCTTTGGGTCTCAGAAATTCTGAAGCCAAGACTAAGTGAGTTGGGAGAAGCTGTGTCTATTAATCTTCTCAGGCCTCTATGTCCTCCAAAGCAGCTACACCTGTATTCAGAGTTAGTCTTCCTAGTAGTTTTGGCCCAATAGCAATTGTCTGTTTTCTATATCTAAAACCTGGGCATCTCATTCAAAGTTTATAGCCTAGGCTGGTAGTGATGAATATACATCTCTCATGAGCTTGTGGCCCCGTGTTCTTAGTGAGGAATGGCCGTGGATAGGATTTTACAGAATTTTCTTTTTCTACTGTCAGTATGTGTTGTTTTGGGATGCTATGTGAAGATCTATAGCATCTTCTTCTTGCTATCTTAAGTTGTTACGAACCAAAGGAATAACTTTATATGTCTGATGGTGGTAGGTTTAGTAAATGTTTGTAGAATGAATGATAAGAACTGGACAATCATATTAAAGTGATTCTTAACTGTATCTTACTTAACTTTTTTTTTTCCTGTGCTAAGAATTATCAGCATTTCCAAAATTAATTTCAGGGTACTATGGCAAAAATTAGCTAGTTAATTTTAAAATCAGTTAGGCATTATTGGCTAATGTTCAATCTAGTAAAGAATAGACACTGCTCCTCAACTCAAGTTACAGCTACTTTAATGATGCTAAGTCAATATTCAAAATATTGCATTTTTGTTCTTCTATTGATTTAGTATGGGCTAAACCCTCATGATTACTATCAAGACTGGGCAGTTTATTATGTAACATTTGGTCATTGCCACTGTATTCCATAGGAGAAAATTTCTTAAAACACTTTCCTTTTTTTTTTTAAACTTTGGTTTTTAAATTCCTAAAGTTCTAAATTGAGGTCTTTTTTGTTTGTTTGTTTTATCACAGGGGTGAAGACTGGTAAAAACTGGGAGTACTATAAAGAATGATGCCAAAAAATTTAGTGGTAATCTGGTGAACATTTACTGAGTGTTTGTTGACAATTTTAATGTAGCAAACTTAATGACTAGAGGAATAATCACAATGTAAAATGAAAGTAGAAGCTAAGTGAAAAACTATAAATAGAAATGAAACTATTTTAATATTTAGAAACATTTTTCAGATACTAACTATGTGTTTGACTTATTTATTAAATATGTACTTGTGAGTGAAATTTTTTGATATTTACAAATGTGGAGATGAAGCTTGTTGTCCACAGAGTATTCATTTACTTGCTAATATTCTACAAGCTATTGGCGATCATCATTCACCTAATGCCTCTTTAGAAATGGGTGGAAATAATACATACATTCCCACACTAAGATATTTGCTATTGCTGATGAAATAAATGCAGATTATGTTACTATTATTTGAACTCTGATTTCTTTGTGTTAATTTCTAAAATTCAACAATACTATAATTCAGCCTAGCTGCAAAACATGTAACTTAGAAACTAGGATTTAAAAGTGACCCAGTTATGAAGTGCTCAAAAAGAGCACAGAAGTTCCCCTTTGGAAAAAAATAAAAAAGCATTGTATATACAAAAACAGCTACAACAACAATTACTTTCATGAAAAGCACAAAAAGAATATGACTGCCTTCAATTTGCATGCAGGTGGTGAATCTCTGAAGTGGTATTAAGGGATGAATCGGGTGGATTAATTTCCAGTCTTTGATATTCATTAACTCCAGCTTCAAAAAAAAAAAAAAAAAATAAGAGGAGGACACAATAATCCCCACAGAGTCACCAGTGAGCAGCAGCTTTAAAATCTCAAGTTCATAATGCCATACTAATTGATCAAGAAGGGGAATATACCTTTAGTGAAAAAGTACTTGGGCTTTACTATAACAATGATGGTATTAGTCTTTGGGAGAGTCGACTTTACTTTGCAAATACTTAGCAAAAGAGTCGTCATTATTTATTTGCTTTGCCACCTGTCAAGAGCTAGGCCCTGCATGGTTTTCAGTAATTCTCTGCCAAGCAGAACTTAATTTTGGCCTAAAGGTAATAGTGGCCAAGGTACAATATTCCATTTCATTTAAAGCAAATAATATTTAGTCTGATCACACTATTTCCAGTTGTAGATCACACAACCTTTCAAAGATGGATCCTTCAAAAACACTTTAGTAAAGAAACAAACTATCTTATTAGAAAGAAAAACACAAGTCATCAAGCTGTCTCAGATCTCTTCTGGAACAAAGTGGCAAGAGGAAGAGAGATCATGAAGAAGAGAGATGTTCTTGCACTAAGAAGAAGCGATGACTGGCTTGATGCTTATTTACCTCTGGAGCTTCAAAGATTTCAGGATCACCATGTAGGACTGGAGGAAAGAGGGCAATCAGGTCTCCCTTTCGCAGGCAGTAGTTGCCGTTCTCTGAACTGAGAGTGAAATCCTCTTGCACAAAACGAATGCTGCTGGAATACGAGTGTAGCCGCAAAACCTCAAGAATGATGCTATCTGAAGGAAACAGACAAAAGCTTACTGAAAAATTGCTGCTTTGAAAGGTGCTTTCACTTAGACAGTAACACTCAATAGCCGTGATTGAAAAGGGAAGGCATTTCTTCAACACATCCATTGAACACCAAGAGGGAGCCAATGGGGGCTGTGGATGGCAAGGGTCAGGAGTGGGGTGGCCTTGCCCCAACATAGCTGAGGGGGGTATTTCACAGGTAAGAGTCAGCAGTGCTATGTTCAGGCAGAAAGAATGTTAAGGGGATACACAGCATACCCTTGGAGAGTTAAATCATATTCTACTTACAATACACTCCTATTGGGTTATTTGACCAACCTAAAGCCAGGCTAAGCCATTTAATTACCATTTAGGCAGTGAATAGTAAAGTAATTGAGTAGTACTTTCTGAGACAGCTTAACACTTAATTTCTTTTATGCTAGCTGTAAATAAAATGTGAGTCAGCATTTGTTGGAAAAATTTCAAACAAAAATACTTTAATAAGATTCAGAAGAAAACCATATTTTCCACAGTATCCAGGGAGAATAACAGTCACCATCATCTCCTGGAAGATTCCAGAAGCCGAATGTCCTTGCTTTCCCAGTGGCCTTCACCTTTTGCTCCTAGCACGACAGATTTTATGGCTAATTTCCGGCAATTTATCCTGGCAGTTTGAGGAGGAATTCCTTTGGGAATAATATGCATAATTTGCATAAATCATTCTGATAGCATGCATATCAGCGTGTAGCTCCTGTCTAGGTCTGCATCTCTCCCTTCATAATCAAAACTGACTATGTTTCCACCAGCGTGAATGGGTCTTAGAATATAAAGCTTGATTCTTTCTAATCAGCAATGTGAAAAGAGCTCCAAATGGAGTTTTTTCCCCTTTCACATGATAACAAATGGTTGTGTTTATGACTTGCAATTTAGCAATCACACACACACACACACACACACACACACACACACACTCGAAGGCCAGTTTCTTATTGTTCAGCAAAACTCTGACACACTGAGTATCCAATTATTAGATTATTAAAGGCAGGACCATCAGGGAGGGCTTTCATCTGGCAAAAATAAAAATAAGTGTTATTTCAGTAAAATTTCAATCTATGCACAGCCTGCAAAGGGATATGAAGTAGCTTTGGGTGCCTTCTCCCAGGAGGTTTTTCCTTAAGCATGCATTTGTCTAAAGAAATGAGGCTGCGGTCAGCTCTGTGTGGGCAGTGTGGTGATTCAATGTGACGTACAGTGAGGCTGTGCATATTCTCTTGGACTGCCTTCGTTATTATAATCAGGCAGAGTCAAATCGGTTTGCTGGTGATGAGGCCAGAAAAGAACTTTGGTTTTGGAACATGGACTCTACTGCAGATAGCCACAAGGCACCTGACACGACGGATTTCAGCTGGCAGGACACCAACAACCAACATTTCTATGGTGAAAAGCAAGGGTCGGCTTCCCATGTACTGCTGCTGGCCCTGTTGGACCAACAATAGCGTAGCATCATTTTAGCTTGTGGTGTGAAATGGTAGCTGACATATGTAGCAGTGCTGTTCACCCAACAAGTCCAGTAGGGGTGTGGGAAGAAGAAAAACAAAAGCAAAATAATGGTGGGGTGGCTGCTGTGACAGGGCAGGCATTTAACAGTCCAAATAACATGGTCACATCCGATTGGCCAGTATGCTCTCAGGGAACATGGCAGCTTGCGCCCACTGCAGTATCACAAATGACAATTGGGCAAGCATATCTTATGCAGAAGTTAATCACAATAATGGAGCTCAAAGTGTGGCTCAGCAGTCAGATCGTAAGTGACAAATCTGTTTTACCTTCCAGTACCAGTTATGTGTGCAAGACGAGGTTGGCTCTCGCTCTGAGCGATCATGCCGATAATCATTAGACGACAAAAGTAATGAGTTGCATTATTATCAGCAATGGAGAGTCAAGCTTACGGGGCTCTGCAGTACCACATACAGACACAAAAGCCAGCAGCTTTTCCACCAGCCCCAGCACAAATGCGGGCAGAGCTATATGTTGAGAAGAATGACAACTGCACAATAAAAAAAATTGCAGCCTCTACTTGTAGTTGTCATAGTTGAGCAGACACCAGCCAGTGCCACTGACAGACCAGCTGGGCCCTGGGAGGACTTCCATGCTACACCAGGAGGTACAGTAAATTATCCTGCACGGTAGAGCAACATCTGTTTCTGTGCTAGTGCCGAACAAACAAGGCAATTTAAAACATACCAAGGGATAACCAAGCAACAAATGAACATGACCCTCATTTTTTCCCCCTTCTCACACACGAGGTGCTAAACTTCATTGTGCAAGCATTCCATGAAAGAGAAGCCAGGTTTTTATTTGATAAGGTGTTGTCAGAGAGATTTTACATATTTCCAAAATGGAAAGAAAAAGCTTATAGTATTGTTATTCTTAGAATCTTCCCCCTTCTATCTTCATTTCTTTTATACCAAAGCTAGCACTCAGTTCTCAATTCGCTCTAGAATTTAAAAAAAAAAAAAACTTTTCATATACTTATAAATATTCAGTCTTTAAACCTAATTTGCTATACTTAGTTCACATGCCTTCAAGCATTTGTCTTCCAATTTCCACTGAATAAATGCGTACTAATGAGAACTAGAGCAAGCTGCTGAGGCAAAGCTGGGTGACTTGGGTCTGGCCTGCCACCAGCTTGTGATAGGCGGGCAAATTGAGTTAAAATGAAAAGTCTTGTCAGCTGAAATTCAACATGGTAGCCAAACAGCAAGCTGTCAATCATCCAGCCAAAACAAGGGACTGCAGGTAATAAAAGGTCATTGTGAATCATTAGTGTACTTGGCTTTCATATGGAAGTTAATTTTAATTAAACATGATCTCTCTCTGTAAATGTTTTATAAAACTTATTGTGCATAATGGATTGTTAATTTACACTAACATTTAGCAGGTAATAGGACCTTCTAATTATTAGAATGCATTGTAGAAAAATGGCTATCAAGAATGCAAATATTTGGGGGATAAAATTTACACCAGCCACTGCAAGGTGCTAACAATTACAAGTGTGATTGAGATAAGGCTGCCTGTGTATTATTAAGAACCGAGTTTACTGATTGGTAATGAATACACAAGGAAAGCGGATTACAAAAATTCCCACAACCAACTCAAAATTTTGGGTCTGTGCTACCTCCTTTACCTGGCTAGCAAAGACTTGTTTCTCTTATCAGGATATAAAACTATTCGGATGAAGTGTCCCTTCTAAGCAAAGAGCTGAGGACGTTTTACAATATAGCTGGAGGAAAATAGAAAATGAAAGGATATGCTGGCAGAAAAAGGCACATATACTTTCTCTTTTGCTCTCAGTTCTCAACTCTGGCTGGAATAATTGACAAATGACTCTCATCTGCAGATTTAAAGTACTAAAGCAGATCATGACAATCAATAATGCATGTTACAATGCAAATGCAGATAAGCACATCCGGGTTTCTGCCTCACACTTAGGCCATGTCTGTATACGTGGAATGAATGTACTGTGACATGGCCAGGCTGTTAATTTGGGTCATCTTAATGATCGGTGCAGGCTGGCATGCCATCTGATTAGCCATGGTGATCACCGGATAGCAGTGATGGCTGGAGTGAAATGAACAGTCAGGCCTTGCTGAAGTCACTGGGGCTGAACACTTAGGCGGTCTTAAAGAGATGGTGGATGGGAAAGGGGAAAGGAAGGGTGGATATGAATACACTCTGTTCCAGAAGGTGTGTTGAAATGGAGTGAGGCTCAAGATATGTGTGTATCTGTGTGCACGAGTGTCTTGACATAACCTCTTCCAGGCAGATGAGGAGGTAAAAAAGAAATTGTGATAACTGATCATAAATTTAAAGCAAAATCACAATTTCTTGGCTCAACAATTGTGTATTTGAATAAAGTTAAAAGTAAGTCTGAGCTGGTATGAAGTTCTACCTTCCTGTGTGTTGCAGACACAAATTTGGGTTTACTGCTAAAATACATAAATGTAAATTCAACATTCATATATTCAACAAATATTTATTAAGTTCCTACTCTGCTCAGAGCACTGAGCCACTGTTGCTGGTGAGGAGAGGGACAGCAATATGGATCTGACCTTCATGCACACAGCATATAGGGAAGAGTGCTCTTGAGATTCTACATAAGACACTATAAAATTTCCTTTTAAATTCATTTTAATTGATAGATGAAATTTGTATTTATTTATGGCATACAATGTGATGTTTAAAAATATGTATGCACTGGGGAGTGGCTAAACTGACCTAATTAACATATGTATTACCTCATATACTTATCACTTATTTGTGATGAGAACACTTAAACTCTATTCTGTTGGCAATTTGATATTGTGCAAATTCTGATTGTATAACTCCAGTGATGACATCCTGAAAGCCCATTTTAGTGAAAAGTTATGCTTCACATTGAAGTGAAATTTTCTTCCCTTTAATTTGCCTTTCCCTTCATACCTTTATAAAACATAGGTAGAAAAGTCTAATTCCTCTTCCACATAACAACCCTTTAAAAATGTGTCAAGACAACTCTCATGCCATTTTCTAATTGTGTAAAGACAACTATCATGCGGTTCTCTAATTGTGTGTCAGAGATGATATGGTAGTCAGTCTTTTGATGCGCTGGATGAGTTCAATTAGCCAATGTGCCTCTTAAAATGTGGCAGAACTGGATGTACTATTTCAGTTGGAAAAGTAGAGAGGAATTCTTCTGTGTCCTAAACACCAAACGTTTACTGAAATTCCATGGGAGTGGAAGAGGAACAGACTTTGAAATAATCTTCACTGGCTTGTTTTAAGCTTTCTGATATCCCAAGTTATCTGAAGTCCTGGCTGCCCATTAGAGTCACCTGGGATTGTTTAAAATAAATACTCCATCCCTGCCAATAGACTCAGAACCACTGCATTAACTAAAACCTTGAAATTACTGGTTTTGAAAGTTGGCTGTGCGTTTGAATCATATCAGGATTTTATAAGGTCATCAGCCCTCACCCCAAAACAATGAAATCAGAATTTCTGGGGGCAGGACCAGGACAACTAATTTTTGAAGAAGATGATTCCAATGATCAATCAAGGACAAGAATCATGGCTTTGCATTGGTTTCTTTAAAGCCATACATTTCCTTATCACATTCTTTTGCAATTTCATTTTAGATCTACATACAACAATCTGCTACTTTAATTCTTATTAAAATTCCCCTCAAATTCTTTCAGCTTCTGTTCCCATTATTCACTATCTTATAAAATCTTTTTAGCTTTGTGCTACAATGAAAAATTATCTGATAAAGATCCAAATCAGTGTATTTTGTATTTTTGCTAATGCTTCTTTGTATTACCTATAAAAATCTCACTGCCTACACTGTTAAGTTTCTGAATGCATCCCTCAGTGGATGATGGCTTCCCTTCTCTCCAGCCTAGAAGATCCTGACTTAAAGTAAAAATTTATACCCTGTCAATCTTCCTATCAAAAGAGATGATCTTCAGCAAATGTCACAATTGTCTAACTTAGGTAAAATTTTAATTTTTTAAGTATACAAGTATTTTATAATACTGAATGAGCCTTTCAAAACAATAGTCATAATTGGGATAAGCATACCACACAAGTGTAAGATGCTAATAATAAAGGAAACTCTGGGGAGGTATATAGGAACTCCTTCTACTGTCTAACTTTTCTGTAAATTTAAAAACATTCTAAAATGAAAAGCTTCTAATGGCAATCTCTAGCTCTGTCCTAACCCTCAAACCCTGCTGCATTTGAAAATGAGTAATACATATCTTGTAAAAAATAGAGCTCAAGATCTCTGGTCCATTTCTAGAGAAATTTTGTCTGAGGTTAACAGTGGTGATGGTCAGGCAATGAAGTCAAGTAGACTAGGCATCAGTTTCTGGATCTGCTCCTGTCTAGTTATATGATTTGGCTTGCCTAGATAATATCGTTGAACTATACTATCTAATAATTAAATAAAAATAGTAATACATGAGAATTAAGTAAGCTAAATACATGAGTTACTTAATGTATAGTGAATTATTAATATTATTAGTCTAGGGATAAAAGAAATATCATCTATATTTTCTTATCCTGAAGCTAAAAATTCAAGTAACTGTATAACAATTTGGCCCACATTTCCTGATCATATACACGTGCATATCATGGCTGGCTTCATAGAGTCAAGATACAAAGGATTCCTCTCCCCTCTCAGTTGGAACAATGAAAAGGATTCCAAGGGCTCTGGGATCAGACAGATCTAAGGAGAAAAATGTGGTCATGGTCGTGGTCAGAAAACCTAAGTGCAAATCCTTCCTCTCTCTTTTACCACCCCCCACTCCCTTAGGCAAGTTATTTAGACCCTGATAATTTTCTCCTTTATTACAATAACGACAAAATAGCAGTGCCCATATTTACTCAGAGTATCTTGGTGAAGATCTCATGAAATAGGTCTATAAAATTACACTGAAATATTGAAATCATGTATACATTCACTATGATAATGTTTAATGATGATGATTATTTCTTATTAAAGGACCTTTACTTTTTCTAACTGATCTTTCATTTCTGGGTTCCTCTACCCTACTCACCCCAAATGCCCACAAGCAATGGGTTTAAATATCTTTAATAAAATTTTGATGGGGGAATCAGCTCAGGCTCATAATCCAAAGAATTATAATAATTTATGATCTCCTTTAAAAAAAAAAAAAGCCTGACAGGTTTAGCCTAGCTCTTGTTTTACAGCACCTTCTTTTATTCCAATATCCCTCAAAGAGACCACATTTGCAGCTTTGCTCAATTTCAGGATATATAATCAAACAAAATCAGGTGCCCACAATTTACCTGAGCTGTTGAGGAGTTATAATTCATTTTACCTTATGTGTTAACTAGAATTATTTTTGCTCTTTTTCCGGATGATGCATAGAAAAAGCATCCCTGTGGGGTAAGGCAGACCTGAATACGATGTCAGTTTGGATCTCAAGTAATTGAAGAGGAAGAAAACAATATCAACTCTGGACGGATGTCATAGAGGTTAAATATCATTTTGGTGATAATAATAGGTAACATTTATTGAATCTATACTGTGTTCCATTCAACTGTTATTTATATCCATTTTTTCAGATAAACTATGAGATTATTTGCAATTATCAAGATTATTTGCTATCAATTTATCAAAATTTCAATTGTGAGATCTTTGCTTTCCTTGTGTTAATATTTTTCTTATCTTTACCTTTCAGGATCATCTTTTATCCTTTTCTTTTCCTGTATTTGAAACCTGGAGTTCTAAATACTACTTATACCCAGACTTTTTCTAATGAAAAACACTTAAAAAATTCTTACTTTCCTCACAGAGTTTTTCAACATCCATTCTTTCAGCATCTTTTCCTATTGAGATCTTGACACCAAGTAATAGTTATCTGAAACTTGTTGCATTTATTGTTAGTTTACATTTTATTTAGACTTGTAGAATTTTTTACTGAACATTGATAAATAAGAATTTTTAGTGAGGTCATGATAAGTGAGTACCCTTCATTTAATAAGATGGATAAATATAAAACAATATACTGTCATGTTTTCTTTGTATAAAAGAAAAGAGTAGAATGGTTTTGAAAAGCAATTCTCAAGAGCATTGGAAAGAGCTGGGCATGGTGGTACAGGCCTGTAATCTCAGTGGCTTCTGAGGCTAAGGCAGGAGGATCACAAGATCAAAGTCAGCTTCAGCAACTTAGCAAGGCCCCAAGCAACTTAGAGAGACCCTGTTTCCAAAAACAAATAAATAAATAAATAAATATATAAAAATGGCTGGGGATGTGCCCCTGGGTTAAATCCCTGGTACCAAAAAAAGCACTGGAAAGAAAGCACTGATGTATCACACAGTTCATGCTCCTTTGTTAAAGAGCAATACTTGTGATCGACCTATGACTAAATGTAGGGGTCATCTGTTGTTTAACTGATTCATTAAAAATCTATTTCAATCTCATTAACCTTATATTTGTGAATAAAAAAAGTGTGAAAAAGTATCTCTTTTCTAGGTGATAATGCACTCCAATGTTTTAAAGTCTCATAATGAACAACACTGGTCTTTGCTGGTGACCAAGTTCACAATGAGCTTTGTAGCTGCTGAAGGCATAATGACCTTTGTACAGGTAGATCTCAACTCACTTGGAACTTTCGGTTGTCATTCACTGAGTGATGATGGTAGGGGAGCTATACATTTATGAGGGCTCCAAGTACGAAAGTGTCCAGGTCCATCTATTGAGTTAAAGGAACCCAAGTTACAACTGTAGAACTTGCAGTTTCTTCTGATCAAATAAATCCAAACATTTCTGTTTTAATACTATGGTTTAAAAATATTTTTTTTTGTTTCAATGACAAGGAATTGAGAACAAAAATAGAGTTGATGAGTTTCAACTGAATTTTTAAGAATTATTATTAGTACAGAAGACAGATACACATCCCCTGAAGTTTATTCGCATGACTTCCCTATATGTATCATCTTATTCATATGATGATATGGAAATTACTTGAACATACAGCCAATGCAATCTTAAAATTTTCAAGAAACCGTAAATCTTCTACCCAGAAATACAAATACAATGTATCCAAACAGAGATAACCACCCAGAATTTTACAAAAATGTTGTGCATTTCTGGCCAGTTTGCTTTCTGCCACTGCCTCTGACGGATCTCAGCCTGACCAGTGGGAAAAATTTCTACAACACTTGGGCCATTATTCTCAATGCCAACTGGTGGTCAACTATGATCAAGACTGGGAGGGCCTTTGTTCTCAGAAGTTACCCTTAAAGAACCTGGACGAATTTAAAAGATAAAAAGTTGAGGCCAATATATGCTAAAATACTGACCTGCATAGTCAAAGGAGTGAAGTGATACAGATATATAAATACTTGATTCTGCATTTGTCCAAAGGGACTTGGAATATTGTCACCTAAAAGGATATCAGAGAATGAAATGCTAATATGGAGGAATAACTCATTGATAAGGAGTTTAACTTTGAGAGTGTAAGTTCACTACATAATGATAATGAAGAGACTTCCCCAAACCTGTAAAGGTGAATGTGATCTTGCTGTGATCTAGAGCTCATATTACAGATGTATAGGTTGGGCTGAGGATATAGCTTCGTTGGTAGAGCGTTTGCTTTCCATGCACAAGACCCTGGGTTCAATCCCCAGCATGACAAACAACAACAACAACAACAACAAAAAAAACTAGATGTATAGTCCATGTAGAAAACAAAAAGAACTTTGACTTATGGACCCCAACTGTGTTTGAAATGGGTATTCTGTACATCTCATGAATTAGCAAATATTTTACAAAATAACAGTGTTTGACACGGGGCAGTTTGTAATTGTTTTTTTCTTCTTCTTTCCCTCCCTTCCTTCATTTTGTCCTCCCTGATTTTTTTAAAGTATGTTTTAATCATGAACCTACAGTAGAAAAGACATTTAGTACATTTTTGAGAACTACACACTTCTAGCTGTTTAAAATGTCCTAACCTGCGCCTGAAAATGTAGACACACCATTTTAAGAAAGAATAAATATGTTTTGTACACAAGTTGTCCTCTGAAATACTTTCTTTTTCAATCTCCAAATCCTTTTCTTGTCAAGATAGTGCAGCAGTGTTTGGAAAGAATTAGCACACCAACAGATGCTTAGAATCAAATGACTTAATAGGCATAAACTTTTTTTTTCCAAATAATTGCAAAGCTTTGGTTTAGCCTTTTGCATACCTTGCATAGTTAATTACCTAGGCCTTAATGTTTACATGCAATGAGAGTATCTACAGCCATAAACTACATAATTTATAATTGATGTAAATGGCTGTTATTATGTCAATTAGGCAGCTGTGTCCTCCACCTCTTGGTAAACAGCTATGAGTGATAAACTGAGTTTGCAGAGAGGTACCTCTTTTCTTCATAACAGATAAAAATAAATTACCTAGGCAGACCAGGCTGTCCAATTGTTCTCTGGTGAGGTGGATAGAAAATCCAGATCCTTTCTTTTGACCTGTTGACTGCAGCAAAGAGTCAATTTCGTCACGCAGTGCTTCCACAGCTTCTGGGTGCCGGAAAAGATAATACATTGCCCAGAACATGGCTGGAATCGTGTTTGTCACAGAGGCCCAGAGAAAGCCAAAATGATGTGCTGGGAGAAAATAAGTGAAAAGGAAGATTAATAGCGTTTATTACACTGATTAGATTTGCAGTGTGCTAATTAAAAGATGTTAGGACACAGACCCAGCCAAGGATCAGTGCATGCTAATGAGAACCAATAGGCTTCTGAAGTCTAATTTTCTGCTTAATGAGAATAGTTTAAAATGTAATGTGTGTGTGGTGGGGGGACAGGAAGGTGGGGGATGAGATAAAAGGAATAAATGCAGCTTAGTTATACTCTTTCTCATTATCATCATTAAGTATCTTGTTTTACCACCTCAGCAAAAAAAAAAAAAAAAAAAAATCAATTATCACAGAGGGTTGTTTCAGAGTAAAACATTTTATCATTAGCCAATTAGAAAGAGCATAAAAAATTTCAAGGTCGCCATTTTGTCTTTTTATTTCAAAGGTCTACTGTAAATTATTTTATTTTAGATAAGTAATCATTCAGAAGTTTCTTACCTCCTATTTCAAGGTCCTGAACCAAATATTGCTCCAGGATTTCTTGCCTCCTTTGCACAATTTCTGACTTTTCTTGTGTCTTTGCTAAGTTTTCTGATGTCAGGTAATTTATCAGTTTCTTCTGCAGAGCCTTGACATTTCCTAGAAGCTCAATGGGTATGTCAGAAATTAAGTATGTGAACTTGTCATCATATTTAAAAAGATCATCTTTCATCTCACTGATAATCTTTTCCTTGTCTTCAGCAGGAATTTTTCCATATATGGCTGTAAACGTGACCTCAAATATTATTGAGCGGCAGAAGGTTAACATTTGTGCTGTGTTCCAATTTGTGGTTTTTAATAGTTTGGGCTCAAACATTTGTTTTAGATCCTGCAACATGTTTTCCAAGAGTATGTCCAAAGATCTGCCTTGCAAAAGTTGATAGGCAACATGAAGGTCATGAGCTAGATCTTCATTTCTCATGGACGTCTTGATGGAGAATGCTTTCTCTGAAAGTTTTCTAGAAAATATATCAAAGCTTAATTGTTTGTGATTTTTCATTACCAATGGGTACTGGAAAGGGTCCAAAATAAATGTTATGTAGTTCCCTAAAAAAAAAAAAAAAAGAAAGGAAAAGGAGGAGGTGGTGGAAGAGGAGAAGAAATTAAGTTTATTTAGTGGCAAAACAAAAATATATACCTTAAGTTTGAAAATATTTTAATCACAAATAGATTCTTCGAGTTAAGACAAAAAAAACTTGATAAGAATTCATTTTATTCAAAGGTCTACTACATGAAGTGTAAGATGGTATTTAAAAAAAACTCTAAAAGCTTGACGTTAAATATCCTAAATTCTTAGTGATCTTTTACATAATAATAGTATATACTTCCAAATTTATTATTTATTTATTTATTCATTGGTATTGGAAATTGAGCCCAGTGCTGCTCTACCACTAAGCTGCATCTCCAGCTCTCTTTATTTTGAGACAGGATCTCACTAAATCACCTGGCTGGTCTTGAACTTGTGATCCTCCTGTCTCAGTCTCCCACATATCTGGGATTATAGGCATGCATCACCACACTGGCTTACTTCCAACTTTTAACTCAAGTATCCAAACATTTTAAATATCCTTTAATCCCTATTCACATAATCCCTTGATGTAAACACTTGTCATTTACTCCCAATAAAACAAACGATACAACAAATTGGTTAGATGCCATTCAATTACTGATTATTTAACTTGCTACAGAGCTTTTTCATGTTTGATGTTATCTTAGTTTGATCAGATACAATAATTATACTTAATAATTAATACTCAATAATCAATTATTAATTCAAATAAATGAACATACCACATGCAGTGGTCTCTCAAAAATAAACATCTAAGATTTTGGAACATGTTCAAGGTCACATATTGAATTGTGATAAGCACTATATCACAGACCAGAATCCATCCATTCATGCACAACATTTATTGAGACCCAGACATTTGGTTATATTCTTTTCCTCTTGAGATATAAAGATATAAAGAAAGCATTGTGTTGTGATGGATAGTGATATAGCAGAGGTGTAAACACAGTGGAAGGGGAGCAGGAAGTGGAATTTGTTCCAGTTTGCTTCCTGTTTTCAGCAAGGGTTTCTTGAGGGAATAATATTTATCTTTTCTACACATCAGTGTTGCCAAAATTTATCTGATTAAAAAACTAGGGGTGATTATTGATAATACCAACTCCTGTAAGATTTCGATTCAGAATGCTCGGAAGTGAGGCTTACAAGTCTCTATGTATGACAAGGTCTTCAAGGGATTCTTATAAGGAGGTACCTTTGAGGAACAGTTTTGTCACAGTCTGTTCCTCAAAACTGGCAAGGACCTTGGAGAGTTCCTAACTCAACCCCTACAGTGATCAGTTGAGCAAGCTTAGGAAGGACAAAAGAGGTAGAGTCAAGGTCATGCTGCCATTTTTAGTGGCTGCCATTTTTAGTTACAGAGCCTGGACAAGAAGTTCTGCTCTATGAACTATGCTTTTCTTCCTGCAGTGCTAGTCTCTTTTCACTAGAGTGCTGTTTTTTTTAAAATATTTATTTATTTTTGTTGTAGTTGAACACAATATCTTTATTTTATTTATTTATGTTTACGTGGTGCTGAGGATCGAACCCAGGGCCTTGCATGTGCAAGGCCAGTGCTCTACCACTGAACCACAATCCCAGCCCTAGAGTGCTGTTTTAATATCCCTTCCAATTAGAAATACTGTACAGATAGTATTTAATAGTGATATGTGAGAAAGCCTTTTCTATCTATACAAAAAAAGAAAAATTTTAATTTCTAATTATTTATTGTCTTCATTACCACCCCACCCCATTTTCTTAGATGAAGAACTTCTCACTTGTTATTTATGGAAACTCAAATGGCATTACAGAAATTAAATTCAACTTGAAACAAGATATTTAGGATAAAGTGTTGGGATAATTTTCAACCAAATCCTGGAAACAGGATAAATGTGTTCTTGTTCTTCAATTTTATAGTTTAAAGTTTTTAATATACATGAAAACACATGTGCTGTGATTTATTTCTTTAAAAATTAGTCATATGACTTGAATTTTGTTTACTTCATTTCCCCTTGATTCATTTAATAAAGTAAGCCAAATCAGGAATGAGGGTAAAGCTGGAAGTGGCTACTGGTTCTCATAAGATATCAAAGCTGCTGCCTTACACAAAGTGAATTTTCCAACCTCCCTGGGGAGAGCAAAAAGGACTCAACTGGATTTGGGCATACTTTATGACACCTGCTTTACTATGGAAGCTTAATTAAATAAAATTGCCAGCATCTGTCTGACAAATAATTTCTTTTTAAAAAGTCAATTCTTTTAATTTTGCAAAAAATCATAATTTTAGGCACAAAAGTATATTTTCACAGGTGGTAGTTCATACTTTTCTGTTTTTATTAAGTGAAAGAATTTTGCTCAATACTTATAGGATTATTTAAAATTATTCCCTAAAATTCAGAGTATATAAAAGGTTTAATTTGTAAGACACACAAACTTTTAGAGATTATTTTGAAATTTTTCCTACCAAATTTCTACATTCATCTAACTCTAAGTGGAAAGGCAAAAATATAATCAGACTGTACATTTGATATATATATATATATACACACACACACACATACATACATACACATATATATCCTCATAAGGTAGAGGATGTATGTATGTTTTTGTTGTCTACAATTCATGAGAAATAGACACATTCTTTCTCTGCCCCTTCTCCCCCATGGGAAGAAAATATGAGGCTCATTTCAAATAAAAGAGATAAATGTTGCCTGTGGAAAAATTGATTCAGTTTAGCAACCAATTATTAATGTATTTTTTAAAAAAGCAATTGTTCATATTAAGATCTTTTGAAAAATCATTACTGACTAGTTTAAATCAATGTGCAGATAAAATTCTCAATTCTCATCTTCTCAAGGCTCTTTTCACCCTAGGATCTGCATTTTCCTCTTTCTCCCCATTCTAATTTTAATTTTCTTCAACATCAAGGCCCTGCTTTTTCACCTTCTATCTTTCTGATTGAGATGAAGATTGCTTTAGAAGTAGATGTTTTGATTTTCTGGATTTTTACTTTTCAAGTGGGTTTGGAAGCACTAATAACCCTGGAGATGGTAACTGGCTTTCCAACTTTTAATCTTCAGTATAAACAATTTAAGCTAAGTTTTCCAAAATTAATATTAATTTAAACCATCTGTCCACCATCTGCTAATGTGAGATGCAAAAACCAGAGTTTCTTTGTGATCTTTAATCAGACAGTTAGGAAAACACATATACATTCATAAAATGAATTTAAATTTCCTAACAAAGGAAATCTTCTGAAAGTTATTTTGAAGGCTATGTATTCTCGGAGCAAAATTAACTTCTGCTCCAGTGTGATTTTATGTAAATGAATGCCAAGTGTCAACAGGCATGTTGCCTAGTTCACAGAGATCATAAGGTAGAAGGAATATCCTTTGCCATGTTTTCAAAAGAGAAGAGAATGCTGTCAGCAGTTGATATGAAATATTGATTTAAAGAATTTCAGAGTTTGTCTGAAATATAAATGTCCAAATGGGGCCCATGTCCATCCAAATACAATATTAAATCATTCTTCTGAAAATTAAATTTGAAAGGGCAGATTTTTGACATCTTCCTTGCCTATTATTTCATTCTCGTCCCTTTCACGGAGCTGATGGGGCTGTTTTAGATATTAATTCTAGCATTCCTATATAACCCGTACATGATCCCTTCACTAACTCAACAGTCTTTTCTCTTCCTTCAGGACTAGTCCACTAGGAGGGGTAAAGCTGCAAGATTCAAAGAACGTCAATAAGTTTATTTTAAAACATCTAGCTATTCACCCTAATATATTATATATAGGAAGTTTGACATCTGGATCATTATAAATTGAATTTTGATGTTTTCATGTCTGATATTGGGTGCTATATAGATACATAGCCATGGGAATTCAAAGCAACTATTTGGCTGCTTGGGATAGAAATGCCCAGTAAATAAATATGAGATAAAGTTTAATTTTAAAGAAATTTTCCACAATTATAAACTTTTAATCTCTGCGTTTAGCCAGTTCTTTAATAAAATTTTTAAGATCTAAAACTGAAAGTATTAGTTGGGAGAATGGAATATGAGTCAACTTTTTATTTTATGAGGATGACCACCTTTCCATCCTCTCCCTCTTATTAGGGAGATTTCACTAGCTGTTGACAATGATGTGCAGTGGAACTTCGCTGGGGTGACATCTAGGGAAAATGATTCCTCTGCACCACCACACAAAATCAATTAGAGAACTATTTTCTGCGACAGGTCACGAATTTACGTGGTTTCTCATAAAAAGATGTACCTTTTAATTTCTTTATTAAGATGACATCCATGTCCCTTGAGACTTTTGGGGATGACAATCATTTGCTCATGCTGCAAGAATGTACACTCATGGAAATCACATTATGGGACAAGGGTGGAAGACTTTGTTCTTCATTTTCTAAATGAGCTACTTGGCAAACTGATCATTGAAATCATGCACATTAACAGGATTTCTTGACAGGAATTTATTCAAATTCTACTAAGAGCAAAAGGAAAGCAGTGGTACCTATTCAATTGTGGTTATCTACTGTTGAGTTCAAAAATATAACCATGCTTAAATTATTTAGACACTAGAAATTCAGCAAGCTTCTCAGAATTTAAGATTAAGATATCAAGTGTCAACAGAAATTGGTTGTTTTTTGAAAAGTGAATAAAGTTATTCAAATCTGCCACAAGTTTCTGCTGAATCATCTTAGTTAACATTTATATCATGTCTTACAAAAGGAAAGCTGAAGTTTTCAGTAATTTTTTTGTACCTACTCATTGGATACATGAACTTATCTTTGTAAAAGTAACAGTAACATTTTTTTTAAAAGTGAAGGATACAATTTTTGACATCATGAAGCCAAAAATTTACTTACAAAAAAATAAATAAATAAAAAAAGCACCAGCTATGTCTTAGGGTTTATGTCATTGCATTTCATCAGCTCTAAGGTATTAGGAATTTTCCCCATCAAATATTTATTGTGTCTCAATCAGCACTGAGCTCTGGATTAAATGTTGGTAATAGAGGACCTAACAAGTTCTCTATAATGATGGGAGACAGACAAGCGATTTAGCAATAAATTCAGAATGTGTTACATGCTCTGACAGCAGTAATTCTGGGAGTAATTGGACCCTGAAGAAGAGATACCAAGGGTGAGATGGCCACAAAAGGATTGGAGGAGAAAGTACCATGAGACTAAGGCCTCAAAAGATGAGTCTGTGTCAATCAGGTGAGAACAGAATTCTAGTAGAAAGAGTAGCAACTGAAGACACAGAAGCCCAAAGGCCACAGTATGTGAGAAAGAAAATCCCAACAAGATGGTATATTAATGGTATATTAAGCACAAGGCAAGCAGTAACAAAGGACAGGACTGGAGAAGTAGGTGGAGATTGAACCTAAGGGATCCTTGTGAAGATTAAGTTATATATCACAAGTCCTCTTTTTCTATGATGCATAATTATTTTTTAATTGATACAGTTTGTGTGCTTCTTTATTTAGTATTTTTTTGTGGTGCTGGGGATTGAACCCAGTGTCTCACCTCACGTGTGCTAAGCAAGCCCTCTACCACTGAGCTACAACCCCAGTCTGCGTGATTTTTTTCCCCCATTCCCATTATTTCTGAAATTTGAGTCTATGCAATTATTGATGGAAGAAACCTGCTAGCTGCCAAGCAAAATAATAAGCTGTGATAAAACTCAGACATCCTGTTCATGGGAAAACTCAACCATATTGATGAGGTTATCTAGTTGAACACTGAACCATATTGATGAGGTTATCTAATTGAACCCTGTTTGGATTGGATATAAAGTGTCCCCAAAAGCTCCTATGCTAATGTAAGAATAGTCAATGGTTAATTGATTAGATTATGAGAACTGAAACCTAATCATTGACTTAATCCATTGGGTGAATTAATAATTTGAATGAACTAACTAGGTGGTAACTGGAGGCAGGTGGGACATGGCTGAAGAAGTAGGTCACTGGGGGCATGCCTTTTGGGTTTTATGTTTTGGCACCTCACTCTACTTCCTGGATACCATGAGCTGAGCAGCTTTCCTCCACTACACCCTTGCACCATGAAGTTTAGCCTCACCTCAGGCCCAGAGCAATGGAGTTGCTGCCCAGGGACTGATCCTCTGAAACCATGAGCAAAAATAAACTTTTCCTCCTCTAAGCTATTTGTATCAGTATTTCCATCTCACTGAAAAAAAGCTAAGATCGATCCTTCCTTCCTTCCTTCCTTCCTTCCTTTTCTTTCTTTCCTAAATATTATGTTAAAATGGAAGAACTGAAATGAAGTCACTGTATGTATAAAAAGTCACCTCTGATACTCAGCAAAGTAATTATATGAAGAAGACATTACTGGCTCTCTAGGAAGGAAACATAAAATTTCAAAGCTGGTTAGAGGAAGACATAAGGGATGGAGCTAAGAAGGAGGTGATGCATAGAAATGGTATAGATAAGGGCTATTCAGAATCCATGGAGGAACCAGAGGGCCAGTGTTGAAGAAGCCAATTAGCAATAGAATGTTTCAGGAAGGAAAAGAGATCAGTGATGTCCATGCAAGTAGAGAGGTCTAGTGATGAGGGCCCACCAATCACCTCAGCACAGCAGACTGTGGGTGGGTTAAGTTTAGGAGGGCTGAAGGAGATAAGCAACTAGAAATAGCAAATGCAAAATATCTAGATGCAAAAGAGAAAAAACAAACAGAATGGAAAGTAAGTAGAAGAAGAATATAGGAGAAGCTTAAGCATGGTTATAAGGATAAGGAACCCAAAGAGAAAAAAAAAAAAAAAACGGAAATATGTGTGTGAAAGGAATGGATTACAAGGCAGCAGTCCAGAGAAGGCAGGAAGAAAGGACCACAGGATAGGTAGGGATTGTCTTGAATATTCTCTGAAGTTGGGGAAAAGTGGTATGGAGAGTTCTGAAACAGCTACTTGTAATAGGTACATGGGGCTCTGAGTATGATTATACTTGATATTATCAATTATCTAGTTAAGGAAAGGAAAGAGTGTAAACAGTTAAAAACTAGGGGGCCCCAAAGTAGTCTCTTCTTGCCCTCCCTCTGATAATATTTAGCCATAAGATGGAAGGCAAAGGAATGTGGATAAGTCAGTCTGGAGAGATCAGTCTTTGGGATATAGATAGAAATTAAAATTAAATTTTAATTTAAATAGAATCGCTAGCCTGGGTGATAAACTGATGCTGAAGACCCTGCACAAAGATGGCCACAGTCATTCCCTTCTGTCTTTCCACAGGAGCTCCTGTGAAGTGTGACTCTGTGGTTCCCCCAGGAGGAGGCAGAGTCTATTTCTCTGACCTTGAATTTGGGCTACTCTGATTTGTGCTAAGTTACAGAATGTGGTAGAAGTGACATGATACCCTAGACCTCATGATACCCTGCAGCTTCTCCTCTTGCTCTCTTCAAACACTAACTGGCAGGTGAAGAAATTTTCCTGGGGATGAAATATCACATGAAGAAGGAAGCCCAGGCAGCATGAGAAGAGACCATCTTGGACCCTGCAGTCCCACCCAGCAGCCAGGTGACTCAGGCAAGACCACATGTTTTGAACCATAAAAATTTTGGAAAGATTTGTTAGGTAGCAGTATTTGATCTCAAAAGAGGAGGGGCTAAGACCATTTCAAATTCTCTTTTCAACCCTATGATTTGGGGATGTGTAGTAATCTTACTGTTTGTTTATTAAAGTAAACATTTTTATTAATGTTTGAAGAAGAATGAAAATGACAAATATAATCCAGACTATTCTTTGCTAGGGATCCAAGGGTGGAAGAATGAGTATGTGGAACATTGAGGATTTTTAGGGCAGCAAAACCAAACTGGTAGATGCATGTCATTATGCATTTGTAAAAACCCAAAGAACAACACAGAAGAAGTTTCTAATGTGAAAAGTGAACCTTGAATAATGTACCAATATTAGCTAATCAGTTGCAATGAATGTTCATACTTATACAAGATGTTAATAACGGGGGAAAGTGCAAACAGGGGAGAGAGTGGGTATTTGGGAACTCTTTGAGTTATCTGCTAAATTTTCTGTAAACCTGAAACTGTTCCTCAAAATAAAGGCATTCATAAACAGTTACACTTAAGCTCTTTAAAAAAAAAAAAAAAACTCTTAAATCTAAGCCAAAACCAAACAAAATGATGAATGAAAGCAGAAGAGTGGGTTTTCTCTAGGTACTAACAAGAGAGTCTGTAATTTGTTCTTTTAAGGTGATAAGAATATATTCAAAAACATGGTATTATTTTTCATTAGCTCTTCAATAAAGCAATGTTATATGAATATTCCATATTTTGTGTGCAGAACCATATAAAGTCATTAAGGATAACATGAGAAATTAAGCCAAACTCAAGGTAATCATGGAAATGCTTTTTACCTCCAAGGAGAACAGTGAATATGTCACCATGTTGCTTTTGGAGAAATTTCATGTACCCTAAGGGATCTTTTTGTAAGTTGAGGGCCACTCCAAAATAAGGAAGCCAGCCTTTTATCAATGGAGGCTCACCAGGTCTCCTATAAATAGAAAAAAAGAAAGAAAGAAAGAAAATTAAATCATTCTTATTTTAATACATATTGGTTACTTGTCCAGTCTACAATTGTACTGCATAGATCACACATCTTCTTTCAACTCTCTTCTTCAATGATTCTTATATAATCATACATGCATTTATTGATCTCCCCCAGTACATGTGGCTCTGGGGTAGGCAGTTTAATTCATAACTTTTATTGAGCAAGTTTGAAAAATTTTGTCTTCAAGGCCTGAACGACTGCTTGACAAGTAAATCACAATCTGTTTTCTGTATTTCATATTAAAGTTCCCATAATTATAAATAGGCACTTGTAGACTTAAAGAATCTGAGACTAAGAGGATCTCTAGGAAACCAAATCAAATGTTTTATGTAATTTATAGGAATAAATTGTCAGTTTGTATAAAGCTGAAAAACAAATGGTCAACTGCTTACTTTTTGGTCTTTCATAAGTCATGCTATAAATGCTGTCTGATGAACTTAATAAGACCCAAACTTAGTTTTGAATAACATTTGTGGTTTCCTACCACATGCTTTCTGAGGACTAGGCCTAATTTAACATACGGTTAAACTGCTTGTTGGAAATCAAGTAAATAATACGTTTTGAATATTGATCTCTTTGTTTCACATTAGCACAACATGTTTATAAGTGTGGACCCCTTCAAACTAAACACACCTCATTCTAAATCCTAACCTGTGCGGAGGCATTTAGGTCTTTCCACAAATATAGAATGAGTTGTTTTAACCAGAAGAAATTTTCAATTATATTCTTATACATAATGGTTTAGGGGATGATGCATTATAGGATTTGAAGTTTCTCAAACCACTTACATGCACTTAACACACTAAATATGGTGTGTTCTTTAGTAAGAACAAGTGATATTTAAGTATTTATTGTGAGATACTTCACTGATTTGATTGATCAAACAGTTTTGAACTAGATGGTACCTTGGGGGGATTTAGTGCTCTCTCTCTCTCTCTCTCTCTCTCTCTCTCTCTCTCTCTCTCTCTTTCTTTCTTTCGTAAATAAGGGATTTCAATCTGAGAGGTCAACAAATTGGGCTGAAGTCATGAAGCTACTCAATAGCAGCGGTGCACTGGGATGTAAGTCTTGAACCCCATGGCTACACTCTAGACCTCCAGGAACATTAGTCAGTTAACCTGTGAATCTGGCCAAAAAAAAAATCAAAGCAGTTCCCTGCCTGAACTGACAGACACATTCAATAAATTGCACCACCCCTTGAATCTGAGAACTCTTGCTGTGCGCTGGGTGTGAGATGTGGGTATTTAGTTGCCAAAGTAGCACTCTTTGTCATCAGATGTCAATTAGATTGAAATTGCAGAATCATAAGAGAGACACATAATAATCTTGAAAAGTATTTTGTGCTATTGAGAACAATGAAAACCTCAAAATTATTTCCATAACATATATATTTGACATATTCTTTTATGAAGCTTTTTAAATTGAAACTGCAAGTGAATACAATTGTTAAATTTCACTAATGTGATTTTTTAATCATACGAAGTGTTCTTTAAAATAATATGAATTAAACTACAAGTTTCTTCTTTTTTGATCTATGATCCCAGCAAAACTGCACTTTGAAATTTCTTCCTAGTCGTTTATTTGGTGAACCAAATCTGATTGAAAGTAAAAACAAAACAAAAAAACAAACAAAAATGCTACTTTTTTTATCCTAGAAGGGATTAAACAAATATTCAGAAGAACTCTGATTCTCTAGTCCATCTGTGAGATGACTTATGGTACATGCAACCCATTTTGATTAATCACAAGATATTACTAGCTCAGATCTCATCAAAGACCAAGATTATGATCATACTAGCATGGACTTTTATGGAGCTGGATTAACCCTATCAGAAGCTTTAATTTTCCCACAACCCAACATGGCAGAATTAAGCTTAAAAAATAAATGTCAGCTGTTTCAGGGAGAAAAATTAAAATCTATCACAGTTGTGATAGAAATCAAGAAAAGATCCTGCTTTCTTCTTTTAAAAGCAATTTATCTCCATGATAATTTTAAAAAACTTCCTGTTGTTTCAATACGTGTCCTGAGAAGCAGGAAAATAAGAAACATTGCATAGAAATGTAGGTGTTATTCATCATAGTGTTTTTCCTATTATTTTCTCAAATATAGCCTTTAGCAATAAAGACTTGCTTTTTTTTGGAAAATATAAGAAAATCAAAAAAACATTGTAAAATTTTATATTCAAAGATTATCTGATTGGACAGGAGAATCCACATGCTGGAAACTGTCATAGTCCATGTGCTATCTGTCTCTGACCATTTTGAATTTGTGAGTCATCTACTTCACAAAACTTCTTTTCAAAGTATTAACTCTTTTCCTTGGTTTACTTTTACTGTGTTTGGTGGAAGGTTGCTTGAATTATGACTACAATTTAGAAAGGGCTTTTTTTTCATATTCTAATTTATTGCAACTAATGACATCTTCTATTCTGTCAGTCAGTCAAAAGCCATATTCTTCATGGAGCTTTCGTAATGGAAGAGGAAGGGGCTCAGAAATCCAAGGGAATATTAATTTTCAGAGTTAGGGAAGCACATTAGGAAGCCATTTTATTGTTGAAAAGATGAGAGGGTCATCATTTCTTACAGCTGTGTTTATTTTGGCAGTAGTAAGCTGAACACTATTAAATACCATGTCACAGCAATGCTTAGTTTCAGGAAAAAAAAACATTGCTAGTTCAACTTATGACCCATTGAAGACAGATTACAAAAATCTGTCCTCATCAGTATATTTGTAAAATTTACATAGGGAGGGAAGACATCCCATAATGAACCAGAAAGGCTATTGACACATGGCAAAGTGCAAATACTGCTATTTGTCTCCCTCATGCACTATAACTTTGAAAATAGAACACTATCCACTGCTGAGTGAGGATACAGCCTTAGTTCTTGTTGTGGATAATCAAATCTCAAAACTTTAAAGAAACAGGCTGTACAGTAATGGTAGGTTAAAAAAAAATCTATGGCCCATACCCTCTCTCAATCTCACTCAAACAAAACAGACTTCCTCAAATCTTCTAATTGTATTTAAGGAACTACAAGGACACATCAAAGAAATTATGCAAATTAGAGCTTATTAATGTTCTCAACCCTAAATTCTACGAATATACCATTGCATTAGCACTTGCAATTTCTTCCATGGACATGGTAGGACACATCTATAAGTTTATGCAAACTATCAAGTACAGTTCAAATTTATCTGGGAGTAAAAATTGGAGAAGACCATAAATACATAGAATGACTACAAAATACAAATGATGTTTAAAACATGTCCCTTTGGCTAAAAATAAGGACATTAAAATGTAAAGGCGTGGACTCATGCTAAATACTTGGTTTCTCATGGTATTTGAAATTCATCCTTATGTTACTTTTGTAGGTAATACATAGGTTAAAAAACATGGCTAATGGCTATTGCATATTGTTCTTCTAGGCATTTTTAAGTAGAAGTGACTGAACTACTCTCACTGAAAATATTTGGTATTTTCTTTCATCACCAAAATATGAGCTCAATGAGAAATTTTAGTTCAGTTACGGAGAAATAAAGTTACAGGAAACCAGGGTTTGGGGCATCAAGGGGAAAAAGAAATAAGAAAGGAACTGGAAGGGCAGGGGACAAAATCATGCAACTGATTCATGGCAAGCTGGGACTCTGAGAAGGACAGAGATGGTGCTAACAGGGAGCTCACAGGACTAGAAATCACCATTCTTCAACTCTTGACAAGTTGTTCACTGGCCTGAAAGCCACATGGCCTTTTCATCTCAAGTCACTCACTAAAAGTATGCTACATACAGAGCTTCTGTCAATGATAGTCAAAAATGTAGTGGAATTAAGGCAGTGTCTACCCGAGGGACTTTATTGGGTGGTTGATCAGGGCAAAGATTGTACATCCAAAAGGCAAAACAGAGAAGGCAGAGAATTCAACAGAACATGGAGCCAGAAAACAACAGCTCTTCATTCACTTGATAAATAATCTTGTGGGGGTGGTGCACACCTGTAATCCAGTGACTGGGAGGTTGAGGCACGAAGATAGCAAGTATGAGGCCAGCCTCAGAAAAAATAAAAATAATTAGGAATACAACCCAATTGTAGAGGACCCCTGGGTTCAATCCCAGTACCGATAACCAATTAAACTAACTAACTAACTAACTACAAAATGAACAAATAAAACAATCTTGTGGGTATGAGAGGGGGACCTTGGTGTTCATACCCCACATGGGATAGAAATTTCACACACAATTATTTGGAGTAATTGCATAAATGAAAGTGGTTAGACATCTAAGGCTACAATGACAGCAGCATTTGGAGGACTTGGAGCAATTGAAGAACTGCTCTGAGATGGATAAGGGTCTTGAATTTCAACCAAGACCTATCCTTTTACAACTCTTTGAATTCAAAAGCCCCAATTCAGCACCTTGCAAATCACAGATTTTTAATAAAGATGTATTGTTTGAGAAAGAACATGCAAATTTTGGTGTGTTCACAGAGTGTGATTTTTATTATTCTTATTGGTCATTAATGAATTACTAACCAGTTATCAAACATGTAAGGGGGGGGGGGAAACACTGCCATAAAATCTCAACTTGGGGCTCATCCAAGTTTCTGGCCCTGCACGTAATAAGGTTGGAAGATATCACTTCCATTTTCAGAAGAATTAAACTAAACAAACTCAAATTCAAGAACTCTTACATCATTAGGAGAATTGATGTCATAGTGAACTGTTGCCCTGAAAGCTAGATGGATACAGAGAATCACAGCTGACTAAGGACAGAAGCTGCTGCTGGAGACATCAGTTGGTAGAAATCCTTGAAAGGTAACTGACAGTTGCTGCACACAGAGACACAGAGCAAGGACTAACATGAGAAAATCAAAACCAAAACCAAAAGAACCAGGGCCTAGCCTTATGGAGGATTTCCCAGTGCTTACACAAGGACAAACAGATATGAAT